TATATATATATATATATATATATATATATATATATATATATATATATATATATATATATATATATATATATATATATTGGATAGCCTGACACCTTGGAGTAGTTGAATTTTGCAAGAGGATATACATATTGGATAGCCTGACACATTGGAGTAGTTGAATTTTGCAAGAGGATATACATATTTGATAACCTGACACCTTGAGTAGTTGAATTTTGCAAGAGGATATACAAATTGGATAGCCTGACACCTTGATTAGTTGAATTTTGCAAGAGGATATTCAAACTAGATAGCCTGACACCTTGGAGTAGATGAATTTTGCAAGAGGATGTACATATTGGATAGCCTGACACATTGGAGTAGTTGAATTTTGCAAGAGTATATATATATTGGATAGCCTGACACCTTGGAGTAGTTGAATTTTGCAAGAGGATATACATATTGGATAACCTGACACATTGGAGTAGTTGAATTTTGCAAGAGGATGTACATATTGGATAACCTGACACCTTGAGTAGTTGAATTTTGCAAGAGGATGTACAAATTGGATAGCCTGACACCTTGGAGTAGTTGAATTTTGCAAGAGGATGTACAAATTGGATAGCCTGACACCTTGAGTAGTTGAATTTTGCAAGAGGATGTACAAATTGGATAGCCTGACACCTTGGAGTAGTTGAATTTTGCAAGAGGATGTACATATTTGATAGCCTGACACATTGGAGTAGTTGAATTTTGCAAGAGTATATATATATATATTGGATAGCCTGACACCTTGGAGTAGTTGAATTTTGCAAGAGGATATACATATTGGATAGCCTGACACATTGGAGTAGTTGAATTTTGCAAGAGGATGTACTAATTGGATAGCCTGACACCTTGAGTAGTTGAATTTTGTAAGAGGATATACATATTGGATAACCTGACACCTTGGAGTAGTTGAATTTTGCAAGAGGATGTACAAATTGGATAGCCTGACACCTCGGTGTAGTTGAATTTTGCAAGAGGATGTACAAATTGGATAGCCTGACACCTTGAGTAGTTGAATTTTGCAAGAGGATATACATATTGGATAACCTGACACCTTGGAGTAGTTGAATTTTGCAAGAGGATGTACAAATTGGATAGCCTGACACCTCGGAGTAGTTGAATTTTGCAAGAGGATGTACAAATTGGATAGCCTGACACCTTGAGTAGTTGAATTTTGCAAGAGGATCTACAAATTGGATAGCCTGACACCTTGGGGTAGTTGAATTTTGCAAGAGGATGTACAAATTGGATAGCCTGACATCTTGAGTAGTTGAATTTTACAAGAGGATATACATATTGGATAGCCTGACACCTTGAGTAGTTGAATTTTGCAAGAGGATATATATATTGGATAGCCTGACACCTTGAGTAGTTGAATTTTGCAAGAGGATATACATATTGGATAACCTGACACCTTGGAGTAGTTGAATTTTGCAAGAGGATGTACAAATTGGATAGCCTGACACCTTGAGTAGTTGAATTTTGCAAGAGGATGTACATATTGGATAGCCTGACACCTTGAGTAGTTGAATTTTGCAAGAGGATATACATATTGGATAACCTGACACCTTGGAGTAGTTGAATTTTGCAAGAGGATGTACAAATTGGATAGCCTGACACCTCGGAGTAGTTGAATTTTGCAAGAGGATGTACAAATTGGATAGCCTGACACCTTGAGTAGTTGAATTTTGCAAGAGGATCTACAAATTGGATAGCCTGACACCTTGGGGTAGTTGAATTTTGCAAGAGGATGTACAAATTGGATAGCCTGACATCTTGAGTAGTTGAATTTTACAAGAGGATATACATATTGGATAGCCTGACACCTTGAGTAGTTGAATTTTGCAAGAGGATATATATATTGGATAGCCTGACACCTTGAGTAGTTGAATTTTGCAAGAGGATATACATATTGGATAACCTGACACCTTGGAGTAGTTGAATTTTGCAAGAGGATGTACAAATTGGATAGCCTGACACCTTGAGTAGTTGAATTTTGCAAGAGGATATATATATTGGATAGCCTGACACCTTGAGTAGTTGAATTTTGCAAGAGGATATACATATTGGATAACCTGACACCTTGGAGTAGTTGAATTTTGCAAGAGGATGTACAAATTGGATAGCCTGACACCTTGAGTAGTTGAATTTTGCAAGAGGATGTACATATTGGATAGCCTGACACCTTGAGTAGTTGAATTTTGCAAGAGGATATATATATTGGATAGCCTGACACCTTGAGTAGTTGAATTTTGCAAGAGGATATACATATTGGATAACCTGACACCTTGGAGTAGTTGAATTTTGCAAGAGGATGTACTAATTGGATAGCCTGACATCTTGAGTAGTTGAATTTTGCAAGAGTATATACATATTGGATAACCGGACACCTTGGATTAGTTGAATTTTGCAAGAGGATGTACAAATTGGATAGCCTGACACCTTGGGGTAGTTGAATTTTGCAAGAGGATATACATATTGGATAGCCTGACACATTGGAGTAGTTGAATTTTGCAAGAGGATGTACATATTGGATAGCCTGACACCTTGAGTAGTTGAATTTTGCAAGAGGATGTACATATTGGATAACCTGACACCTTGGGGTAGTTGATTTTTGCAAGAGGATGTACATAGTGGATAGCCTGACACCTTGAGTAGTTGAATTTTGCAAGAGGATGTACAAATTGGATAGCCTGACACCTTGAGTAGTTGAATTTTGCAAGAGGATGTACAAATTGGATAGCCTGACACCTTGGAGTAGTTGAATTTTGCAAGAGGATATACATATTGGATAGCCTGACACCTTGGAGTAATTGAATTTTGCAAGAGTATATATATATATATATATATATATATATATATATATATATATATATATATATATATATATATATATATATATATATATATATATATTGGATAGCCTGACACCTTGGAGTAGTTGAATTTTGCAAGAGAAAAGTTCCTTATTGCAGCAGTTTAATCCTAGGCAAATAAAATCTTTCACACAGGTGATACTGATTCTTTGTATTGTAATATGGCACACTTAAAAGTGACTTTCCAATTGTTTGTGAAAGACAAGTTAATAGAAAAATAATGACTTTATTGGAATAATCTAAACACTTTACCAAAGTGCAAATTAGCTGGACTACTATTAACAAAGGTGTGTTGGACATCAGATTTATTCTCTTTAATCTGTTGGTTGGCCTCAAGTTGAGAGAGACACAGTCCAAAGAATCTCTATAGTCTCCTATACTCTATATTTTTTTTATTTGAAATATATTCAACATCTCTTTTGTATCAGATAATCTACTTTAGTTTTTGAAAGAGTTCAGAGTCAGGTGGGATTATATTGCACAATCATAATATGCCTCCAGTGTACAAAAGTTTTAGGCTGGCAAAGATGTATGCTTAGTTTATGCTGGTGTAAATTTCTTTGTTCTATACAGCTTTTAGACTGGTGTAGATAACTTTGTTCTGGACACAAATCTTAGGCTGGTATAGATAACTTTGTTCTGGACACAAATCTTAGGCTGGTATAGATGCCTTTTTTCTGGACACAAATCTTAGGCTGGTATAGGTGGCGCTCACCAGTTATTATGTACTTTTGAGAGAGTGATGTATGTAAGGTGAAGTTGTTTGCATTTTAAACATGCAAAGTGGAGAGAAAGTTGGCATACCTATATACTACTTTCATGTAATGTGGATAAAATTACTTTTGGAAATTTTGAATGATCTTAGGACATTGCTAACTAAAATGACTGCTTCCTTCTGCTCAAAAAATCAACCTAAATTTGTCTAAAGTACACTATTCTTGGCAGCTATTAAAATATGGAAAATGAATTTTGCCAAACTAGATAATACCAGCTTCTAAAAGTGCAATGACTGAATTACCAAATACATAAAATGTAAAAGAAGTTATTGGCTCTTTTTTTTTTACAATTTACCTCTGAAGTTTGAGAAGTGAAAATGAGCAAGTAGAGCTAGCACTTTTTTTAAAGGTGCACATCTGGAGTAAGGCCAAGCTGTATACTCTCTAACCTATATTACACCCATCAATCATACATCAAAATAAAGGGAATTAAAGGTTCTTTGAATAATACCTAAGATATACAAAGTCTCTTTTAAATAATTAGTATAACTAGTGAGGAAACCCGGGAAAACTCTTTTTCTTTAAAATTTTAACCCTATGCTAAATATGACACTGTAGAGCGCCACCATAGATGCCTTTGTTCTGGACACAAATCTTAGGCTGGTATAGATGCCTTTTTTCTGGACACAAATCTTAGGCTGGTGTAGATGCCTTTTTTCTGGACACAAATCTTAGGCTGTTGTAGATGCCATTGTGCTGGGAGCAGGATCAAAATGAATTAATTCCATATATGACCCACATATAATTTAGATTATGATAAGTAAAATTAAATTTAGTTTGGTTATATATAATACAATTGATAATTATTTATACCTAAAATGCATTATGTCTTGCTTCCTAAATTAAGGCAAATTAAATGTCCTTTTTGGTGCTTTCAGCCATTTTCAAGGGTCTGGCATATAACACAAAAAATATTTTACATTTGATAAATTGAACAGTATAATTAGTTGCTGTTAAATAAATGGTTTAAACAGAAATTGCACATGTATATATGACAGCACATTTTTCTGTGTATCATGCAATGGCAGATCCGGGTCTATGTAGACTGCAGTTTGATCTGACTAGTGATTTATGTGTTTATGTGTATGTGATTTGGATTTTTAACATTGTTTTAACAATTGTTCAGTCATATTGCTATGATGTATGCAGTGTGGCATTTTATAGTGATGTCTAGCACTGGAGGCATCATGCCGCAGACATATAGCATGATGTCCCACCCAGAATTATTATCCTGACACCAGTCTGACAAGTCTTGACCCATAACTCTTAATGCTTAGTGCCTAGCAAGGCAGCTGTTTCTTGCCAATTTTGTAAGTCGTTGGTATGACTCAGCTTGGGCTCAAACCCACAACCTCCTGCATTCGAGGTGGACGCTCTGACCATTAAACCACTGGAGTATTCCAGCTCAGACTAATAAAGAAAGGATACATGTATGTGGTAATATAAATAAACCGATCCATAATTGAATAATTAAAGTAAAAGAACGATACCTGGTATTTGAATCAGTCAATCATAGTGATAAAGACATATTTTCATTATATGATTTTCTTAATAAAATATGGTAACTTGTTATTACAGCAATGGCTACCAAGAACAACAAGCTGCCTAGAAATCTATATTTTGGGGATAGACCTAATGCACAGGCATCCAAGTTAAGAAGGCCTAGAGCAATACACAAGTTTGATGGTATGGAAAGATTGTACATGTACCTTTGGCTATTGTGGCATTTATATTTGACCATTTATTTTTGTTTCCTTTGGTTCAGTTTTTGTAATACCACCAGAAATTATTTTGTTTGTTTTCATTCGGCCATTTTCAAAATTAGTATTTAAGTTAATAATATAGTTGCATGAAATCTCCAGATAAGTTTTTTAAAACAAGTGTTTAATGGAATTCACGCAACCAGTAAACTTACTTTTATAGCACTGATCATGAACATGCTTATTTAATCAAACTTCTTGTGTGTATGTATATGAACCAATGTTGGTATGTATGAATGTATACATGAATGGATGTACATGTTTGTGGGTGTGTATGCATGTATGTGTGTTTAAGCACCTTTGGATGTGTTACTGTGCATGCAATAAACAAGATGTGTTTGCAGAGAGTGTCCTTTAGTTCAATTGGCAATGTTTCATGTAGTTTGTAAGCTGCTTATTAAATTTTTAATTTACAGATTCAGATCTCCATGAGTATCAGCAGAAATTTACTGGAGCAGTGAATGGGGTTGTCAGATCAGAAAAGCAGTTACCAGGCAGTGAATTAGTGCCAAGAGAAGTTCCGAACCACCTTCTGCTGATCTCAGTCCTGGAGCATCTATGTTATATGTACACACGGGATGTTAGAAAGGCCCAGGAATTATTTAAGTGTTAGTCTTTAACCTTTAGTATCAGATATGGAAATTCTATTGGTACAGTATGGAGACTTTGAATTCTGCTGTTGTCTTGGCATTTTACCTTTGTTGGAGATTGGAATCACTGAATATGACAATGTGATATTAAATATTGTAAGATTTTCGGATAGGTATACATGTTGGAAATAGTGTTCCATTAAACACTTATTAGGATTAAAATGTGCCTGCAAACGGCAGTCACTTTATTGACACAGACTGGCTTCATTGCAGAGGACTGACTGCCATCCCAAAAACTTTGAAAAATTGATGTATCAGGGAATCAGTTGGGTTCTCCCCCCACACACACACACACGGGTTATGCTTCCAGGTGAAGTGGGTGACTAAGTTGCCTACAAAGTGCAAATTTTGCCTTCTTCTGTTAGGAAAATGAAAACAACTTCACCTTGTGATTTTTTTTTTAATAGAAACATTGAATAACCATTCCTTTTGAGATGCTCACCTTGGCCAGGTTAGTTAAGGTGTTATGGTATATATAGCTCAAGGCAAAATGTACACTTCAAGCCATCAACTAGTTGGTGTTCATATCAATTATGCTAACAAACTCTTGCACATTCACAGGCACTTGATGATTGACCATGAACCATTTCCTGAGTAACATAATAACTATTACTGCCTGATTTTTGCAAGTTATCCTTTGATGATAAAAACATACAAACGTGTTTTGAAACTTAAATTTATATAAATAGCAATTTGAGTTTTAAGGCAGACATCTCTGTTCTGGGAAGTACTGTTTTATTAGATTGCATAAACTGTTGGGCACATATATACAATTTGTAAGAAAGCAAAGACTAAATATTCCATTTTTAAAGATTTAGCTATAAAATGCAATTATGTAGGTCATAAACATATAGGACAATGATATGTTTTGGAGTCTGATGAGACTGTTTAATGTCAAGGTTGTATTAAGAGTTTTAAAATTTTCTTGAAATAATAAAGAGAAAAAACAACAACAAAGCAAATGTTACACCAAGTACATTGACAAATAATAAAATCTTACATATGCAACCCTATCAGTGGATTGTTGTGACAAAGCTATAAAGTGAGTGGTTAGATTAAAAAACCTCTTTCTAAAAAATAGATACACTTGTGTGTTTTATTAGCTGTGTTGATTCGGTTGAAAAAAGGTTTAGTTCATTCATATACTGACTTTAAAGTGTGTTGTCGATGAAAGTACGGTAAAGTTTTCAGCAACAAAGAAATTAGGATGAATAGTGTGATCTGAAGATTTGTGCATTTTCTGTCATGTACATGGTAGAGGGGTTGTTTCACAAAAGTTTAGAAATCTCTTCAAATGCCATTTTATAATGAACTTTCAGAAAGTAAAAAGAAATTCTTGATTAAGGGTAGTTGATCAAACATTTATGCTAACTTCCAATTACAATACTGTAATTGAGTTCTTTTTAAGTCCTATTGCCAAAATACACTGATTATGAATATGATAGTTATTAAACATGCACCAAAGGTGTTTATAATATAGATAGAACTCAGAAACTTTTCTGCTTGAAAGAAAAGTTTTGCTTAAAACCAGTGTTTAATGCAAATATGCATACTGGAAATCGATGGCATAATTCAAATAAGAGAATGAAAACACACACACACACATTGCATGCCTCGCTTTGTTCCCATTTCTCTCTGTTCAGATTTACCTTCTCCCTGTTCTTTCCAAAAGGAAAAGCCACTTCTCCCTAAATTACAAGTCTAGCTTGACCCTTGACACATGACCTTTATTAGTTGTGCTTGTTGAATTTTTGGGAGAATATCATCCTTCTAATAGTGCATATATTATATGCCTTCAGGATGTGTTGGGTAGAGGATGGATGTTCAACATTCCTCTGCCTCCTTTACATATTCACCTAATGTTAATTTGATCAGGTAATATATTTGAAGGAGAAAGCAAATTTTTAAGTAAATTAAGTTTCCAAGATAGCATTTACCCATTCACATTATTATTTAGCCCTTTGTTCCACCCTGTCTCCTAAATGCTCAGGTTAAAAGCTAATTACATCTAGTTGGGTAACATTAATGTGATCTGGTAAGCATTATTGGAGAAATTTGATTTCCTTAAAAATTAGCTTTACAGAAGAAATGTGATGTCAAACCCACTTACACTTTAGGTTAAATGATCAGTTAGCTAGAATAACCACTGGATAGTCCATGATAAAGAGATTTAAGTGAGCCTATTATTTTAGCAACAGTCACCAAAGATCAAAATTGTAAAAATGTAGATTCATACAGGTTCCACAGTAAAGTGAATTTCTGCGAAAGTTTCTTATTTTACATTTTGTGGCAATTTAATTTGATCTGACATTTTTGTAATACTAATACATAGACATTTCTAATCAGTGGATTTAACAAGTGACTGAAAGAATTACTTTTATGAAATCTTGTTCAGTTTAGCATCAGAAAGTGTTTATTTCCATTGAAATTTAATGACAGAGCAAATATGGACAGGAATATAAATTTATTAACCAATATGAACAATGATTGGAGAAATTAGTTTTGACAAGGAAACTTTTCTACATGAATCTGAAGTAAAATAACATGTAAATTGAAATTTTTCACTGACTTATATCAGTTTATGCTATTTACCACTTTTAATGAGCAAAAAGTTCCATGCAGTAAAAGTTATTTCCACACATGTAACCATTGGCGATTAAGTAAGCATGCAGCCATTTCATCTGCCTATCAACAAAACCATATGCTTTGTATGTACTGTTTTCAACAGTTTCCAAATACACATCCCACCTTCCTGTTAGGAATGGTCAACCAGTTTTACTATTGTGCGCAGGAACAATTTTGTTAGGAGTTTTAAAATTTCTTGTTTTATCTCATTGTGAAGACAAGATAGACTGTTGAAAATGGAAACACACCACATGGATTTACATAGGAGTTCAATCACATTTCAGAAGGATATTCAATCTGGAAAATGTAGCAGTAAATAAATGGCATCTTTCAGCAGTAGTACCATAATTAGAGGATCTCACTTGAGTACTCATTTTATGGGTAATTTCTGAAATAATACAAGTAGTTCATGTTGCCTGAAGCAGATGACTAATAATAATATTCATTTATTTACTATGAAAATAGCTCAGATGTAAGATTGTATTACAAAAAGGACATAGAGGAAATTATTTTGATTCTGAAGTACCAAATATTATTTGTGAAAAGTGAAATCCTAACACACTATTCAATTATCAGAATACATATATAATATACATTATAATGATGAAGTAATGTTTTCTATCCAGTTTTAATTGCTTGAATTGATTTAAATTTTGTTAAAATTGCATTCTTACAAAACTAAACAATATTTCTGCAATCTCAAGTTTGTACTTTGCATGTTTGTTTTCTTTAAATTTCAGTGATATTTGAGCAGCTTGGCAAACTGAAAGTTGTCTCCCCTCTCATAGCCTTAGACGAGATGAGCAGTCTAAGGTCACAGTACCGTCACAGACTTCATGAAATGTTAATTGCAGCTGTTCAAAAAGTAGAAAAGGTATGGTTAGGATATTTGAATGATGCATTTAATTCAAAATGTACAAAAAGAAAATAGTTGAGCAAGCCTAGGAGTCATTTTCCCATGCAAACAGCAAGTATTATTATAGGTGGCTGGAGGTATATGAAATGCATACCAGACCACTAAACTAAATTGTAATACTGCAGTTGCAAATGATAAAGTTTTATATAGTTTAATTAAGGAGCTTTAACCTGAGGAAATATGTTCATGTACCTGCGTTGTGTGTATCTGCATTTTTTGTGACTCTTGGCACATGATTATATCAATATTATATGTAATTTTTGTTCATGACTGTAAATTGTTGTCGTTGTTGTTGTTGGGCTTAACGCCATTTTGAAGCACACAATAGGCTATTCATGGCGGCCAGTGGAAGAAGAAACTGGGAAATCACCGGAAAAAACCACCGACCCACAAGAAGCTACTGGCAAGCTTTCTCACATATCCACATTAGCCGAATCCTAGACTCGA